GTAAATGTGAACTATCTCTCTTCATCTCCTCATCTGCATCCTCCTCATCATACCTGTACATAGTGTTTTTTATTTTTAACTACTCACATTTAATGACTGCTAAAAACATTACACAGAGTCCCTAATGCAAAGAACTCAAATCCTTAAAACTCCCAACTGCTTCCCTGTAGAGCTTTGCAGTTGTTGTATGAAGCCCAAGATCTCTGAGAATTCCAGAGCACTCAAACCCCCAATCTTCTTCCTGCCTGGTCAGGACAGATAAGGAATTATTGAACATTGCCTCACTTTCCTTTTCTGATTTCAAATAGAAGATACGAGTATGTCTGGCATCAGATGAGGTCATCTTATGAGTTTGGGGTTGCTTTCTCCACTAAGGCACAACATATTATGTGTTGGTTTCGAAGAGCATTGTACTGCTCCTTGGTCTGAAATAAAATGCACTTACAAAATCTATGTGCAGCTTATTGTTAGTTGAGGTTTGGTACCATATCACGGGTACCATTCAGTGTTCTTAATTGCAAACAACCGCCTCTGCTCTGCCTAGTTCATGCAGGAATTTATTAAGGAACATCGGGTAATTCACAGAACCTCTCGGAGGACCAGAGAGCCAGGCTCTGCCTCTACGGCAACCGGGAGCAAGGCCCAGCCACACCACGAAGGCTACTCCGCCAAAAGCACCACCGCCACTGTCGCTAGGCACCAGTGACCTTTAGGAATGGACACCAGAAGCTCTGCTGTTGCTACTTCCAAAGTGCCGGATGCCTCCTCCAGAGAGGAAAAAGGAGCATCCCCACTTGCTGCTTTCTCAGCTGAAGTCAAGTCACACCTGGAGATGTCTGACTGGTGAAACCCAGGTCCTATGCCAGAACCCTAGCTGCAAGGAAGTCTAGGAACGGGAGTTTTCTGGTTTCAACCCTGGGAAGGGAGAACACAGCATGTGGAAAATAACCAAAATATATGTAGCCTTGTAGTGGATACTGTCAGTAAGGCTTCTGCTCATATGGCCTTGGATCCCTTTGCCATTTTTACACATGTCAGCAGCACTCCTAATAACCAGCACCTTCCTCTCTTTGGTCAGAGAACTGCTCCCAAAATATCCCAATTCCTTTGTGTTATGGCCCGAATGTTTGTGTTCCCCCAAGATTCATAGGTTGAAATGCTAACCCCCAAGGTGATGATCTTAAGAGGTGGGTCTTAGGAAGGTTATTAGGTTACTAGGCTCTGCCCTCATGATTCAGATTAGTGCCTCTACAAAAAAAGACCATACAGAGCTAGCTCACCTCTTCCCCCAAGTGAGGAAACACAAAAGGTAACACCAGGAAGTGGGTCTTCACTAGGTACTAACTCTACCAGCACCTTGATCTTGGACTTCTCCGCCTCCAGAACTGGGAGAAATAAATGTGTGTTGTTTATAAGCCACCCATTTTATGTTATTTTTGTTATAGCAGCCCAAATGCGCTAAGACAGCTCACCCCCCAGTCAGGACCCTCGGGGAGCTGTGATCCTCACAGTATCTGAGCTCCCCAGTGGGACTTTGCCGGATATCACATCCTTGCTTGTCCTTCTTTCCTGTTCTACTTCCCACTCTCCTGTTTTTCCTGGGAACATTTACAACACTGGCTACAATCCTGGTTCTCTTAGAACACTGGAGTCAGTTGTCACTCATGCACTCAGGAAGAAAGTGGCAAAACAGCTGACAATGACGTGCACTTTGCCCATTATTATATAATGGACAATTCACTTAACCTTTTTTGGGGTTAAACTCTGTCACAGAAAATAATGCCAACCTTGAAAGGTCTTCTAAAAATTAAATGAAATAAGAGATGTCCTGGTACTTAGTAGAGCCCCTCCAAAAAGGTATTTCCCTTTCTTGCTCCTTCCAGCTGACTGAAAGTTAAATTGAGAGAAAATGTTTCATTTCCATATTTGTCACTCTGTGCGAATGAGTCAAATCCAGATCAAAAAATAAACACTGGGGGTGCCTGGGTGGCTCAGTTGGTTAAGCGACTGCCTTCGGTTCAGGTCACGATCCTGGAGTCCCAGGATCAAGTCCCGCACCGGGCTCCCTGCTCAGCAGGGAGTCTGCTTC